GATACCAGACTGCTGGGCAGGCAGCGCAGTCTCAACGCTCAAAACCATGTCCGCGACGACTTCTGTCACCTCCGTCTCGTAGTCTGCTACCACCTCCATCGCGTCCGCTATCGCAGTTGTCTCTATCGTCTCCTTCGCTTCAGCAATCGTCTGGTTTCGCGAGCTCTCTTTTTCGCCCGCTGTGTCTGCAAGTTGAGCGCTTGCTGAAGGAATATACTGCGCCACCTCCATATCTGCCGCTGTGCGCTTGGCAGCCTTCTTCCTTGTCACCTTCTTCGCCTTCGTCTGCCCTGCTCCATCGTTTCTGCTCTGTCCGTCGAATGCGGCGCTCGTAACGCTCACTTACCAGAGCCCCACGACAGAGGCGACTTTCTTGCTTGGTGCGGTGTTGACGCGGTGTCTTGGGTGTCGGCGCAACCATGTTGCTCTCGTCCGTCGCTTTGAAGAGTGAGGCAGTTGGTGGCTGGTGGCCACTCGCTCGATAGTGGGTGTGTATCTCCCTATTCTAACTCATTCAACCAAACTAAATATAAGCCTGTGCATGTGACCTTTTTATACTCACATCAATGACTTCATTTCACTATACCGGGGAACGGGGGTATATGGTACGTTGCCCCATATAAAATTCAGGTATAATTTTTGCTTATGTTGGACCTCCAACATAATATAAAATGTGCAACAGAAGTGAATTAGGGTATACACCCCTTATGTTGGAAGATACAACATAAAGAAACTAAGGGGTTAAGGTAAGGTTGAAGTAAATGATTTTAAAATATTTGTAATGTAGCTGATAATTAAAGTAACGCTACAATCAGTGCGTTTGGATACCGGAGAGTCGTTGCCCCTTCAAACGGTATGCGTCGTCAACGGGACAGTGCAGACAACGATCTAAGCATCGAGGAGGTCAAGTGGCGGGAATTGAGAACGTACAAGACTAGGAGACCTACGACTTCTAGACGCATGCTAACCCTCTTCTAAATTTTAACATGTAGATTTATAAAACAAATTAAACAAAAAATATAAAAAAACTTATTTGCTTCGAAAGTCCAGTGTTGAAGATATATCGATGTATTCACTTAAAAGCAACGAAGATGGAATCAATCCCTCATGTTAGTAGTGTGCTTCTTCCCCAGTCTAGATAAATGGGGCAAGCTCAAGGGCATACTTAGACCTCATGGGCCTTCTTCCTTACTGATAGGAAAGTGCTGGGCCTGCCAAAATGAGGGCGCCCGACAGTGTTATCCTGGTGATTGTTTCCCCGCTTGTGCTTGTTCCTCTTTACTAACACCTTTCTTCTCCTGCATCAACGGAGTCAGTCGTACGCAGTGCGTACAACGTGTACGCACACACCGAACGCAAAACAGTAGCCACACGGACATCACTTCAAAACGATGTCAACGGGCCAGTCGACTGACCCTCACCTTCCATTCGAGCGTAATTGACGCCCATCTGAGCCGATACTGCGATTCCCTCCTCTGTTCTTTTGTTTTGTCTAACATGAGCACGCTTCGCTAATAAGGACACCACACGAAGCGCACGAGGTCCCCCGGTATACGCATAGTGGGGCGCTATACCTTGAACAGTCCCTATCGGGTTCGCTCACACCATTTCGGATGCCCTATGTGTGAGGGCGTTTGGTGCTGAGATGTCGATGGTGCTGTTTGTGCGACAGATCGTGACAACAGCTACTGATTTCCCGCAGCAGCGCTCCCATCTTTAGTCTGCGCCTTAGAGTGTAGTCTCTTTTCGATAATGCATTGATTGTTTCAGCTGGGCTGTTAGCGGATGCAAATCCACATGGATTGCGGAACGTCTGCCACGCTGAATACTTCCCATACAACCACTGGTCCTTCATGTAGCCATCAAATCCACGTAGGTATGTATTGGAAAGCCACGTGGAGTAGACTTGCCCCCGCAGCTGGAGAAATCGGGGTTCATCGCGCACGAAGCGAGGACCAAAATAGAACCAAATATCCCAGCCGAGACAACCGAGGGAAAGCTCTTAATTGCTTTCATAACGTTTTTTATAACGTGAGAAACACACATAAGAAACTGAAACTCAGAGTTGTGCCCGAGCACGCGGTACAGAGCGCTTTGTCTGCGTCGGCCATGCCATAACGCGCTACTAGCTCTCTCTGTTTAGAACGTAGAACATTCGGCGTAACGATAGCAGAGTAGTTTCAAATATTGCTTGAGCTTCTTGTGATACTATAAATGTTGCAACGACGTGAAATCGGCGGGCACGGTCAGCGATGCTGACGACTTCGACTGGATAGCCGCGGTGATTGGTTTTGTAGGTTGTGTCGATATGTAAAATGAACGCATCAGGTGGTAGCAGCATTCGCAACATCAACGCCTTCGCAGATATTTCAACAGCGAATGGCTGCTCGTCGGAGCCGTCTCCGACTACAGGTTTTCCTTCACGATCAACGTCCCATGCAAACGTAAACGCCTGATCCATACCCTCGCCTCCACAAAACGTCCTCGAATGTACCCACTCTCTTATCTCATCGACAAGGTCGTGGTTCTCCAAATGAGCTCGACTATAGTGGTTTATAAAGTTCTGACATACATGGAGTGGTGGTAGATTCTCTAAAGGCGTCTGAAACTTTATGGTAAGCGCGTGTCGGATTCGCAAATGCCGCAAATTGTGCTCGGCTATCTCTTTGCAGTACGTCTTGTGAGACGACGTGAGCTTTTTCCTTTTCGGGAACATGGCTTTTGTCAAATGGGCGCCAAACTCGAATTCAGAGACGTGGTTGGTGACGAGGCAGGTTAGCATCTTTCCGCGCAACGTGCTCGGCAGTTCGGAGGCTTCCCAGCATGACTTAGAGCTGCACTGCATCAGCCTGTAATGCATCTTGTGTACGTCTGCGTCGTTGCGCAGTGGCCATTACTGGTGGAATAGGTGTCCACTGAAGTTAATCGTGAATGTCAATACGTTGAGAAAAGATTAAACTCTAGTGTAAAAGGGACGAACGTCTAGTTTTATACAAAGACGGATGAGCACCTTGTCCATACAAACTAACGGATGATCACCTAGTATAGAAACATGTGTACTATATAATCAATGTACGGTGAGCTGAAGGAAAATCGCAGAAAAACCAGACTGCTATTAAAGCACGATATATCTAAAGAAGGAAGCCGCGACAGTCCAGTGAGCAGTGATGTCCAAAAATACATTGCGGGGCATTGTAAAAACATTAAGCGCAAACAATAGCTACGGCAACTACCCCCCCCCCTTGTCTCCAGTAAGTATTGCAATACTCGGCGAGTTTGCAGTACTATTGCAGTACTAATCCTGCGTACCAGCCTTGCTGCTGCTACCACCGGCATCCTTCATCGCCTGAGCTACCATGGTGGCGCTCCAAAGAAAACGATTATGCTTGAGGAACAAGATTTTTTCGAAGTTGACGGGTGTCAGCCGCTTTCGGGTGAAACGAAGTAGTATCCGGACTTCCAAGCCTGTTTTGGTCGAACAGGGCACTTTCGGCACTGGTACGAGACCTCGCCGTCGACGACCGATATGTCGTAGTAGAAGCGGACGTCTGCGGGAATGCGGTCGATAGAAAGCGGGCTGGACTGGAGGGCCATGGCGTCTGCAGGGAAGGCTGCAAAAAGCAGAATGAGAGCTGGCTGGTGGTGGAGCGGTCAAATTCGCGCCCATTTTGAAGGCGCGAACGCTGCTGGCCACTCGATGGGCCTCTGAGTTCGCGCCAAAAGACTTGACGCGCAAATACTGCGACCTTTGGGAACCGACTTTAAAAAGGATCGCCGAAATCGCTGGTAAATATGTACTGCAGTTCCCAGCGTTGCCGCAATATGTATTGCAATACCCCAGAGCGCTTGCAATAAAGTATTTCTCAGTATTGCAAACAGTACCAATACCTGCAATGTATTTTTGGCCATCACTGGCAGTGGGCGTAACTTACTAGCTGGCAGACATAATGTCAGCTACGAGACGGCGACTGTCGACCATTCTGCAAGCTCCTGCACCTCCACTTGGCTCCTTTGACATCCTTCTCGCACATCAGGTTACATGTGCACCTGTACACAAATGTGTGACGTTCTTTGGAGCGCACAAACGCGTGCTGGTACACAAAGTGAGATCCAGATGGCAGTAGTACAATAGCGCTACGTGCCCTGTCGTGTGTTAAATGTGACGAGATGGCTTCAAACGTGCGCTCAAATGATGATAAGTGGCCTTCTTCTCAATTTCTTTTTTTTCTATAGAAGCCTTATAACACGTCATTCTCGAGCTCATGTCGGGAATAGTCGATAGTGACAAACGTGCGCTCAGATGTGACGGACGAGTCATCGTCGTGTCACCAGTAGTGACTACTAGTCATTGACTAGTCGTCGTTATCGTAGAGCTACGACGAGAATAGCTATTAGTATCGGCCAACCACAGTGGGCGTTCGTCCAGATAACCATATCTTTACTTTTTCATTATTCAGACGATATACATTTATATTAAACTCGAAAAAAAACACTAGAGATCCAAAAGCATTCGTTTTAAGCCACACGAGAAATTCATCCGTTTTTTTACTAGATTTTATTCCGTAATCCTTTTTTAACCCAAAAAGCTCGACGATAACACATGCACCACTTCGACTCCTGTAGTTGGTAGAATGCTAGTTGGGCTTCTTTGTCAGGCTCACTATCACGTGTTGACCAATCCAAAAAGGTAGCTATGGTGTGCCCATGTTTCGAGTTACCTTCAATCCAGCCATTGTCTTTAGAGGCTCTGGTAAGCAAGTGCTCTCGCTGTTATGGAGTAAGGGAATGTGCACGCTGTGTTCATGCTCCAATACGCTACATATCAATGCAACACCAGGTGTAATAGAGTCGTAAGATACGCATCGAACATCGTGTTCTTTTACTTATGAGCTACGCTTCTGAAATGTAAAGCATCGGGGAAAACTCTATTTGCGTTTATCGTCGAGCTTGGGTAATTCGAGCATCAAGTACAGCTCAAGCTCAGACTGTGCGTGGATAATCTACTGCTTCGACAAATAGGCGGCGACCTTGGGCTCCACCTTGACGCTGCTCAGCAGAGCGGCGATCTTGGGGAAAGCGTCCACCTTGAAATCCGGGAACGCCCACTTAATCTTGTTGTCCACAACATCGAGGAACTGCAAGTCAGCATACGACAGCTTGTCTCCGAGGATGAATCTACCAGCCGCCATCTTCTCGAGCGTGGCAAGGAACTTGGGCACCGTCTCTTCGATGAACACCTTCTTCTTCTGCGCCTTCACGGTCTCGTCCCGAGTCAGGAACATGAAGTCCACAAAGGGAGTCTCGATTTCGCACAGCGAGCACGAGAACACGTCGACCTTCAACGCCTCGAGCGCGTCGGTCGGGTACAGGCCGGCGATCTTGGCGGCGTAGCGAACGATAGCCATGCTCTGCGCGTAGACCGTGTCATCCACCTCGAGGACAGGCACCTGGCCGAAGGGCAGCGTCGGCTTGAGCGCCGGAAGTCAGGGCGCGCGATGCGGTCGTCCGTGAAGGCGATGCCGCCGTAGTTCAGGACCATGCGCGAGAGTTCTGCACGGCCTTGCCGTCGAAGTACGTGAGCTTGAGCTGGGGCTGGGCCATCGTGGTTGGTTGGAGCTGAGCAGAAATTGTGGGTGGGACAGAGCGAATTCGCGAATGAAACGTAGCGTGGTCCTCGCGTCTTACATATCAATTACAGATTCTACGTGTTCACGTAGGAGAATGGCTTGGATAATGCACTTGATCCGTATGCCCTAGGAACACTTCACCAGTCCACTGAAAGGTAAAAGAAAGTATGATTAGATCGTTAGCTTCACTACTCCTCAGCTCAACGCTCTTCTGCGACCATGCAGTCGCTTCTCATGCATTGGCCTGGCATCATTTGTCTTCACTATACTGCACAGCACCTTTGTGCTCAGCTCAGTTGTGCCAGGTCCCGTAGTTCGACCATCCGTCTCCCAGACCTAGCGCAGCCAGCGGAGACCCTCCAGTCGATTAGTGATGATATTGGCAGATTCCCAGTGGCAGATGAAAAGGCTGCTCCAGCTGCGATACATCACTCGATGTTTTTTATTTGCTCTCAATGTGTCCTGGTGATGCTTGAGTGTCATACATGTCATATTAGTACACGTAGTCAACAGAACTGAATCAACTGCGGAATATATGAAACAAACTTGGGGACGTCGAGATAGAAGCACGAAGTGATACGAGCCGACGGCATGTAAAATACGGGTGTCTTGTCTGTTCTAGTACGTAATTTGCTGCGAATACTGTATCGTTGGAACATGTAATCACATAGTGTAAGTACACGGTGTTTCCCATAGCGTAATACATGTATCATGCCCCATGATTGCAGTGTTGATTCATATGTGATTACAGTGTTTGTCACCGCAATCTCGGGCTCATTCTGTTGGAATTCAGATTCATATCTAGGACCAGAGTCAACGTGAAGTACAAGACGGATGGTCGAACTACGGGACCTGGCACCACTGAGTTGAGCACAAAGGTGCTGTGCAGTATAGTGAAGACAAATGATGCCAGGCCAATGCATGAGAAGCGACTGCATGGTCGCAGAAGAACGTTGAGCTGAGGAGTAGTAAAGCTAACGATCTAATCATACTTTCTTTTACCTTTCAGTGGGCTGGTGAAGTGTGCCTAGGGCATACGGATCAAGTGCATTATCCAAGAATGTTCTGAGCCCAAAAGACTTTCGGATTTTGCTCACTAACGTGATCTAAGATGTCAGGACCATTAAAGTATACGAACGAAGGTGTTTCAAAGAACTGGGATGGGAAGGATTGGCAGCAGTACAAATGGGCGATGGAGATAGTCTTCAAGAAGAAGAAACTCACGGATATCGTGAATGGGAATCTCACGAAGATGATGCTCTTTACGTCGGAGGCTGAGGAAGAGTTTGATGATCATCAGTTGACCATCATGCAGCTCATCGGGATGTCACTGTCAGCAGAAATCTTCCACCAGATTCGCGACAAATCCACCGGAACCGACATGTGGAAGGCGCTCTGCGTAATCTATGGTGTCACTGGTACATGCACATAAGCAAGTGAACCAAACTTGCGGATATGATGGAGGTCGGGCTTGATCCCAAACATCATCTCATAGGGAATGCTCTGAGTTCCCTTATTGTAGGTTCTGTTCTTGATGTACACTGCGTTACGCAGCGCTTCAGGCCACAGACTAACAGGAAATCCAGCATCATGCATCATCGACTTCTTCATCTCCACGAGAGATTGATGCGTCTTCTCGCAAAGGTTCAGCTGTGAACTCTTTGGACCCACCTTCACATGCTCGATGCCGTGCACTCCGTACCGGTTATCCATTACTGTGCTAACGAATTCACCGCCTTTGTCTGTCAAGACTTGGTGTACTCTGTACTTCACTCGAATAGAGCCATCCTGCTGACGACCAGCTTGTCTTTCAGCCCAGAGCACATATTCTTTCATGTGCTGGTTCACTATCTTGCTTGACTTGCTAGTCAACATGTGAACTTTCACAAAGCGAGTGTACCCATCCATGAGCACAAGAACAGCCTCGAATCTAGTGCCATTAGCTTAACTAGGGATCAGTAAGTCAGCGTATACCATTTGGTTCGGAGCGTTTGTGTTGCGATCCAGCTTCTTCCAGTGTCTTCGCTGCTTCTGCTTGCCAATATGACAGGCGTCACACGTTCTTAGCTCTCTCTGCCTTAGCATCATGCCACGAACGAGGTTCTTGTCGACCATCGTCTTCAAGAATTGTGGACACACATGCCCCAATCTCGCATGCCAAAGCTTTAAAGAAGCCACTCATTCCGCAACTGTGAAATTGCACAGCGGCCGATCCTGTGGACTAATAAATCCATTTCTGGATGGATGACTCACTTGAAATCCCCAAGTTCCATACTCCGGTGTTGCAACAATTACAGTATCGTCGTGTTCATCTTTCACGCGAAAGCACCTCAATTGTCCATGGTAATCAAAGTCAAAGCCTTGTTCTGTAGCTAATCCGACTGATAGTAGGCCATGTGTAGCACCAGGAATGTAGAAGACGTCACTTAGGTACACTGCCTTTCGCTCGCCTTCAACTTCAGTTATTAGCTGCACAGTTCCTACTCCAGCCACTCGAGAAGCCAGCGCAGGCGTAACCCCATGTACATGCTGGGATTGATTTAGATCCGGTGTAAACGCCACGTAATACCACGGGTTTCCCGTCACGTGCACGTTAGCAGCCGTATCGAAGTACCACCACCCACTACTTGTGTCTACTTTATGTTCATCATGTTCGAGGCCATCGTAATAACAGCTAACAGTAGTATCAGCTTCATTACCTCTTGCCTCTTTCTCCATGTTTGAACCCGCTTCATTCTCTTCGCTGTTCTCCGCCGGCAGTCTGGCGTCGATCAGTAGAGCGTCCAAAGCGTCCGTCACTTCTTCTGATACGTGTACTTCTTCTGTATCTGAGCCTAATGACTCGTTGTGATCCACACGAGTCACATTTGCACGTGCCTTCTTCTTCTGCTCGCTTCCAGCAGCTCTGGCCCCGTCTTGATTCTTCACCTTCTGCGGACACTCCGAAATAAGGTGTTTAGTACTGTCGCAAACAAAGCACTTTTTCACCTTCTTCTTTGTGTCTTTAAACTTCTCAGGTTTTTCACGATTTTGCCCATTGCCATCGGCCTTCTGCTTCTCAACACTACTGCTTTTCTATCTGCGTTTTCCGCTCTTAGCTTGAAAAACTCTCTGCCGAGAGTCAGCAACCCGAATAAGCTCTCGAGTCCGCTCTGGGGTGATGTATGTGTCAGCACAATTGTACCGAACACTACTCTGCAAACTCTCAAACTCATACGTATGCGGTAGACTGTTCAACATTAATTCCGCCATCGCGGTGTCGTCAAATTGATAGTTGAGAGACAGCAACTCCGTCCGCAAGTTAAACATCGTACTCAGGTGCTTGCTGACGTCTCCGCCCGAGGACAGCTTGAGCATATCAAGCTCGTGTCTAATGCTCTCAGCTCTATGAGTCATAGTAGTTCGGTTCGCCCGGCTCTCAGGTCGGAAGAAGCACCATGATAACGCGCGACTGGGTTTTGTGCTCGGTTATGCCGAAGATACCGTGGGTTGTAAAGTCTACTTTCCTGATGATCGTACAGCTAAATTCGTATCAGATCTTCGCATTAGTGAAGATGTGATGTACCGAGATCGCCATGGAACAGATTTGGAGGACGACGACTTGGAGTCGTTGCACTTTACGAAGCGCAGTAGCAGGGAGTCGAGTACCGAAAACTCAACACTCAAACCCTATGGATCTGAGTGAAGTCTGCAACTCGAACGCTGCTCCGATGATGAGCGTGGTCACGCTCGAAGCGACCAGAGACCTCGAGGGAGGCGAGGACGATACTGCGCAACGAGTTGAAGAGCGAGATGAGGTGATGACGTAGCTTAGGGGGGCGCAACGAGCGTCATTACCGTCAAGAGCATCTGCAAACTGGACAGGACTGGAAGGAATCGGAGACACAGTGACTGAACCTCCGTGTGTTCCGGATGTTGAAGGGGCGACGGCGATTTACCTAGTGCTCTGACTGCAATGCAGAGTGATGATCTTGTACAGAGGGACGGTGTGAATTCTGAAGGATCAGCGTCGAAACTTACGACAGTGTATGGATACACGAAACCTGACATGACAAGTGATAATGCGTCTGCTGTCAGTGTGTGTGGTTCATTGGAGGTTAATGCTGATGGGAGTTCATCTGAAGTGGGCACTGAAGGGCTGCATGCAAGTGAAAACCTTTCCGAATCGGTTATAAATGAAATGAATCTTGTAGCCGATGAAGACGGATATATGCTGGTTGACATTGATGAGGGATTCAGTGAAGATGCTGACAGCGTCACCATTGCCAGTACGTGTGAGAAATTGGTATGCAAGCACCTACGAGATGAAACTAACTCAGAAATGGGTCGTGTGGAGATATGTGCGGAACGTGAAGGTCCGAAGCGAACTCGAACTGGTCTACGTGAGTATCACAAGCGTCGTCGGCCGAAGTATTTGGATGAATATGTAGTCAACGCGGTGCAGAATACGTCACGTGTACTGGATGAGAATGGACGTCCTATACGAGCAAGTGATGTTCGGATTCCACGCAACCACCGCGAAGCTATGCGAAGCAAATATCGTAACTATTGGCGCGAAGCCGAACTGGCAGAGATGTCGGCAATGAAACGACGTAGAGTTCTGGAAGAGATTGCGTTTGAGGATGTTCCGAAGGATGCTAAGCCTATCAAGACACGCTGGGTCTATAGTGTGAAGTCGGATTTTCAGGGGTTTGTGATTCGCTTCAAAGCTCGACTAGTTGCTCTTGGCAATTATCAGAGACCAGGAGTGGATTTCACTGACACGTTCTCGCCGGTGGCACGAATGTCTTCTTTCAGGCTTCTAGTGGCATTAGCTGCGGCTCTGACCTTGAAGCTCTATGGAGGAGATGTTGATACGGCATATCTAAATGCATTACTCGGAATCCTGCAATACGTGAAGTCGATTGACGGATTTCCGTGTGAAGTGGATGGTCACATGTATGTGATGACCAAAGCGTTGTATATATTGAGGCA